CTTTGGAGTTTATTTTGTATCTAGTCACTTGGCTGAATTTTTTGGTTTACACACACACACACAAATATTGATGCTTTGACTTCTTCCCTTCCAAGTTGTATACCTTTGATCTCCTTTAGTTGTCTTAAGGATCTAGCTAAAACTTCAAGTATTATATTGGATATGGAGAGAAAAGACAGCCTTGTCTTGTCCCTGATTTTAGTGGAATTGCTCCAAGTTTATCTCCATTTAATTTGATGTTGGCTGCAAGCTGGCTTTATATTGCCTTTATTATGTTTAGGTATGTCTTTTGTATCCCTGATCTCTCCAAGATTTTTATCATGAAGGTTGTTGAACTTTTTCAAAGGCTTTCTCAGCACCTAATGAGATGATCATGTTTTTTTGTTTGTTTGTTTGCTTGCTTTCAGTTTGTTTATGTGGTTAATTACATTAACAGTTTTTCATATGTTGAAACATCCCTGAATCTCTGGGATCAACCCTAGTGGATTGTGATGGATGACCTCTTGATGTGTTCTTGGATTCAGCTTGTGAATATTTTATTGAATATTTTTATGCCAGTGTATATGAGGGAAATTGGTCTGTAATTCTTTTTCTTCTTTGTGTGGTTTGCATATAAGGGTTACTATAGCCTCATAAAAAGAATTTGTCAATGTTCTTTCTGTTTCTATTTTGTGGAACAATTTGAAGAATATTGGTATTATCTCTGGTAGAATTCTACTGAGGCCATCTGGCCTTGGGTTGTTTTTTGTTTTGTTTTGTTTTTGCTGTTTATTTGTTGTTTGTCTGTTTTTTGCTGGGAGAATTTTAATGACAGCTTCTATTTCCTTAGAAGTCACAGATCTATTTGAGTTATTTGATATTTATTTAACTTTGGTAAGTGATATCTGAGAAAATTTTTCATTTCTGTAAAATTTTCAAATTTTGTGAAGCATAAGTTTTTGAAGAATGTCCTAATGAGTCTTTTTATTTCCTTGGTGTCTGTTGTCTTAAACACTGTTTCTCTTCTGATCTTTCAAATTTGCTTATCTTGTTGATGTTCTCAAAGAAGCAATTCATTTTTCTTTCTGTTTTTATTTTATTGATTTCAGCCCCCAGTTTGATTATTTCCTACCTTCTACTCCTATTGGGTGTGTTTGCTTCCTTTTGTTCTAGAGTTTTCAGTCATGCCTGCAGTTAAGTCACTACTATGAGATCTCGCTAATTTCTTTATGAGGGCGCCTAGTACTATGAACTTTCTTCTTAGAACTGCTTTCATTGTGTCACCTGGGTGTGTTGTGCATTCATTTCCATTGAATTCTAGGAATTTTTATTTTTCTTTATTTCTTCCTTGACTCAGTGTTGATACAGTAGTAATTTGTTAAGTTTTCATGAGTTTGTAGGTTTTTCTTTTGTTTCTATTGTTGTTGAAATCTAGCTTTATTCCATGGTGTTCTGAATATGTGTAGGAAGTTATTTCAATTTCCTTGTATCTGTTGAAACTTGCTTTGTGACTGAGTATTTGGAGAGTTTTTGAGAATGTTCCATGAGATGCTGAGAAGAAGGTATATTCTTTTGTTTTTTGGTGAAATGTTTTGTAGATAGCTATTAGATCCATTTGAGTCATACCATCAGTTAGTTCCTTTCTTTCTCTATTTAGTTTTTGTCTGAATGTCCTGTCCATTGGTGAGAGTGAGGTATTGAACTCTCACACAATACATGTGTGAGATTCAATATATAATTAAGTTTCAGTGTGAGATTCAATATATGCTTAAGTTTCAGTAATGTTTCTTTTACAAATGAGTGTACCCTTGCATTTGGAGCGTAGATGTTAAATATTGCAATGTCCTCTTGGTAAATTTTTCCTTTGATGTGCATGAAATAGCCTTCTTCATCTCTTTGGATTAATTTTAGTTGTATATCTCATGTGGATATTAGGATAGCTACACCAGCTTTCTTTTAGGTTCATTTAACTGGAAAATCTTTTTCCAACACTTTACTCTGTGGTAATGTCTCTCTTGGATGTTGATATGTGTTTCTTGTATGTAGCAGAAGGAGGAATCCTGTTTTCTTATCTATTCTGTTAGCATGTATCTTTGTATTGGGCAATTGAGTCCATTGATGTTGAAAGATGTTAATGAACAATGACTGTAAATTCTTGTTATTTTGTTGGTAATGGTGGTGGTGGTCGTGGTGGTGGTGGGGTGTGTGTGTGTCTGTGTGTGTGTGTGTGTGTGTGTGTGTGTGTGTGTGTGTGTGTGTTTTCCTTCCTTTGAGTTTTGCTGGTATGAGGTTATTTATTGCCTGTGTTTTCATGGGTGTTGGAGGTTTCCTTCTAGTACCTTCTAGTACCTTTTGTAGGGCTGTATTTTTGGATAGATATAGTTTAAAGATATTGAGAAGTCAGGTGTAATTCTAATAGGTCTGCCTTTTGTTACTTGGCCTTTTTCCTTCATAGCTTTTAATATTCTTTCTTTGTTCTGTGAGTTTGGTTTTTTGATTATTAAGTGTGTGAGAACTTTCTTCCTGGTCCAATACAAACTTCTTCTATCATTATAGGCATGTCCTTCTTTGGGTGAGTAAAATTTTCTTAAATGATTTTGTTGAATATATTTTCTGTGCCTTAGAGTAGAATTTTCTCCTTTTTATATTCCTATTAATCTTAGATTTGGTCTTTTCATGGTATCCTAGATATCCTGAATGTTTTATGTCAGGAATTTTTTATATTTGGCTGACAATCTCTTTTCCCTATCATGTCTTCAATGTCTATTGCCCCTGTTTGCTTATTCAGAGTTTCCATTTCCAGAATTCCCTCTTTTTATGGGTTTTGTTTTTGTTTTGCTCCTATTTGCATTTTTAGTTCTTGAACAGTTTCCTTTGCCGGTTCATATATATTTTTCTTTGTTTTCCTGGCATTCTTTAAAGGATTTTTTTTTCCATTTCCTGTTTTAGGACCTCTATCATCTTTGTGAAGTTGGTTTTAAGGTTGTTTTCTTGTGCTTCGTCTTCATTGAACTTATCAGGGCTTGCTGTTGTGAGATAGCTGGGTCTGATGGTGCCATTTTGCCCTTCCTGTTGTTGATATTGTTCTTATATTGACATTTAGGTATCTGGGTTAGGTCTAGGTGTTAGTTTCTGACTTTGTCTTTGTTTTGGATGGTTGTTTTATTCCTTAGTTTCAGGTCTTCTAGACTAAGTGGCCAGAAGTTCTGGTGACTAACAACTCTTTACATCCAGTAGGGTGTCTCCGATTGGGTTTTTGTGGCCTGCAGCACATCTGGGTTTTGGGTACCAACATTGCCTCTGCTGTTCCAAGTATCTGTGTGGCCTCTGAGGTTCTGGGTACCTGTTTTGTCTCCTGGATTCCTAATACAGGTTGCTCCCCTCCATACAGCAGAAATTTTCTGGCAATGTAGAGGACTGGGATATGGAGCTCAGAGGAAGGGGTGCCATTGGGAGCTTTTGGGCCAGTTTTAGAGAGTATTAGCTGGCTGTGGGTAGTGTTTTTCTTGGGTCTCTAGTATCTGCCTGGTCTCAGGTAAAGCACAAGTCTTCTGCTGAAGGTGTTTGCCAGACTATGGAGCCCAGGAGAGGTGGTACAGTCTGGGATTGTTGGATGGGCTTTAAGAAGTGTTAGTGGGCAGTGGGTGAGGTCTTACCTGGAGTCCCTAGAGACAGAACCAGAGGTGTGGGTCCAGGGGAGGGGCTTTGTACTTGAAATCTTCTTACTTTTCCTCCTTTTCTGCAGATGGTGATGACTTTTATTTGTAAGTGTCCTCTGTCAGTCAATCCTCTTTGTGATAACAGGCTCTATAGACTATCAACAGTGCTTAGTGACCTGTCTAGAGATCTTAGAGTTTAGAAGCTATAGGAAATATCTGTCAGGATTTGCTTAAGAGTCAGTGGGTCAGATTGTATACAACAGGACCACATACTTTGTATTTTATTGATGCTTTTATGTTTCTTCTTCAGCTTAGGGTCTCAATGAAAGCAGAGCTAAGCCTCTGGGAGGCAATTAATGTATACTTAATACTTCTTAATAGAACCATTTCTCCACTTGCCTCAGCCATGTTTATCTCAGGGTCTATGTCTCAATGAGTATGAGTGTGATATGTCACTGACCTTTCCTCTGACAAGCAGGGACAATGATAAAATATTGTTTAGTGGGTAGCTAGGTGGCCTCTGTTCCCTGTATCAACTAAACAGTGAGTATAGTGTCTATGGCATAGCACAATATGAACCAGGTTGGGAATCACAGCCACGACAGGGCCACAAACATGGCTGTGAGGACCTGTAAGTTCACAGAGAATATCCTGCGCTATTTGTGCTAAGATGTCCCTGGCATGAGATGAGTGCCCAGCTCTCCTGTTGGGTTAACCTGCTACTTTGTGCCAGAGTCATAAAGGGTAAAAGAAGCATACTCTTTGTGGTGTGGTTCATAGGTCAATGGTGCAAAGCATTTTTATCAGAGCATCTTCAGCATGGTGTGGCAACTGGATGATAAGAACACAGCCATTGTCAGTCTGCCTCTCCGTTTTTATTTGTCATTGTTAGCCTAGTTTTCAGTTTCTAGCTAAAGACAGAGCTGAAAGTCTGACAAACAAACATTACTATTTCCCATATCTCTAAATTTTTCAAGACTCTACTCATCAGAAAAATCTTTCTGCAGACATCAAACACATGAAGATCTTTTAAGTATCATTCTCCTGCCTTTGTCAAATGCATATTTCAGTCACATAATTAATAGATCACCAACTCCCTAACAGAAGTCAAAGGAAATAAAATATTTTTTTTTTTTGTCAAAAAGGTATTTTGTTTGACATAGTATGTGAGCTTTACAATGTACATATTAGGTCAAACTCTCAAAATAGAAGCACATTTCCTGCCCCATGAAGGTCACACAGAGCATGTGTACATGTCACTCTGAATGCAAAAACCTGTATGCCAGCTTTCCCTTTTACACCTTCCACACCAGAGGACCAATCACCAACAGGGCTGTATGCTTAAAGAGGAAAGCTGAAGCTATCATTTTAAAAAGTGCTGCAAGGTGTGTCTATGAAGAGAACTGCAGTGAGTCCTCACGGCAAGTGGTGTGCGGCCTCCTGTAGGCTGTCCTGGGCAGTACCTTATTACCCTGTATGTGTGGCTCCATTTCAGGAAGAAATTAGCTTGTACTTCTCTTTGGGTTTGGTTTTTTGGGGGCACTTCTTGCTTTGACATTCTTCTTAGGGCTGGCAGTTTTGGGAACGGGTGGCTTTCCCTTTGGCTTGGGGGGGTTACTGCGACTGGTGCGGCTGGCTGTTTGCTTCTTGTCTCGAACTGTCTTCTGCTGTTCACGGAGCCTCTCTTCCCACTGCTGGGAGGCAATGCAAATGTAACTATCAAATACATGCCACCCTTTTATGCTGTTCAACTGATGCAAGAACTAGCCCTGGAGGTTTCACATTAGTGCAGTTCCCCTGAAATATCGCGGCGATTACCTTAGGCTCCCAATGTTGGGCACTTATGAATATCCAGTGACTGGAAAGAGCTCCATATGCAAAGTCTAAATACTCAACTCATTTCTTTGAAGCTCACAGGATCATCTGGGCACCCTTGTCACAACCAGTAAACAAGCACACAGAGGTTTTTTGCAGAGTCCATAGAGCAGCTAAAAGTTCTTGTCAGAATTCATTCCTCCGACTATTTGTAGAGATCAGGCCTGTCACAGTGTTGCTTCGGATGTTCTGCCTCAGAATACAGCATCTCTACACAACAAAGCATTCTAAAGTAGTGTTGCTATCACTAAAAGCAAGAATCTGTGTAATCTCCCTGCAAAGCCAGCAATTTACTACATTGAAATAATTACCTATACCCAAAGGAAAATAAAACTAGTAGTTCCCCCTTCTTTACAGTTTCTTCCAAGACCCCATGTGCACAATGCTGACCATGCACAATATAGATGTTGTGGCTTTTGTTATATATATATATATATATACCTATGGTAAAGTTTAACAGTATGATAGGCACAGTAAAATGTGATGATATCAAGAATAAAATTATTGCATTTATTTACTATAATAAACATTTGTCTTATTGTATTGTTATGTTTTTTTTTAAATTGTCTGCAGGTAAAAAAAATTAACTAACTAACTAACTAACAAAAAACAAATCATGAGACACAGAGAAGCAGACCAAGGGGATCTGCTGTGACCCAAGTGCCCAGACCACTGTGGAATGTCATCTTTCTTTTGCTTTCCCTGAGAGCAAAAGTTGTGGTATGATGTATGCATGTTTGTATTTACATATGTATTTGCTTATTTATTTATATTTTTATTTAATTATTATTTTAGTGTGTATGTACACTTATGTGTGGAGTATGGAGATTAGCGGTTGAATTCCTTTCTTCATTGACTTTTCAATTATAATTTTGTCTTGGGAACCAGAAATGCAATTCTGCCAAAATATTGTGTGTCTTTACAGTGAATACACTTGCCAAGTAGCTCCCAAGTCGCTGATGGGAGTTTTAACACATGCCTGACACAATGGTATTTGGTTCTATTTTATAGGCGTGCTCAGTATTCAGCTGTTTTCTCCTTAAGCTAATTCTTTGTATATTCCTTTGTCTTGCCTAAAAATTTTTATTCATCCAAACTGAAAAACTAGACAGGAGTGATTTATTTTTTTGAAACTAAAATATAAATTCTCCTCAATATGTCTAAATTTATTTTGAGGATCAAGGGTGCTTTAAAAATTCTAAACAAATTAACATTTTTAATTGCAGATGATTTTCATCCAGGGTGGGGGGAATATTTTAGCTCTAACATAATTGTCAATGTGATAATGATATCACCATTAAAATTATGCATTTGACCACAAATGAATTTCTTTTGTTTTTGCTTATTTAGAGACATAGCTTACATTATTTTAAATGCAGCATAATATGGTTAGTTTTACAAGTATTTGCATGCCTGCAGTTATATGTTTATTTTAACCCCAATGAACACTGAATTTTTATACTGTTTACTGTATTAACTAAGTTATAGTACAATAAAGAAAGAAAATGCCTAATTTAACTGGAAATAACTGGCACCTTATATTTGCATATAACCGCATTAACTATGAAGTTGAGTAATGGTTTCTTGATGGGAGATGCCATCATGTAAATATGTTTCTCATACTGGTTAATGAATAAAGCACTATTGGCCAATAGGAAAGGAAGATAGGCGGGACTAGGAGACAAGGAGGAAAGAGGAAGTAGTAAAGAGGAGTCAAGATGGAGAGTCTGGAGAGAACAGAACCGCTGGCCCCTGCTCTCTGGTAAGAAAACCACGTGGAAATATTAGATTAACAGAAATGGGTTAATACTTAAGACAGAGCTAGCCAATAAGAAACAAGTAACGGGCCAACAGAATTATATCAAATACAGAGTCTCTGTGCATTATTTGGGGCTGGCGTGGCGGCGGGACCAGACCAGCAGCGAGCAGAAAAACCTTACTCCTTACAGTTTCTCATAACAATTCCAAGTAAACTAGGTGTTATTCTCAACTGTACATTCTAAAGATAGGTGCTCTCACCATTACTGGCCCTTGTGAGAACTTGAGAAGACATTGTGGGACAATACCCAATTTGTAGAATTTTCTTACAGTCATTTCTACCCATGCCCTCCATTTTGTTAATTATACTTACTATGGACCTTCGACTAAGTTGATCTCTCCATTTTTCAACTAAACAGTTTTCAAGAAGCATCATCCTAGGGGGGAAAAAAAAACATAAATTTCTTGGCAATTACATTTTGATTACAAAAGTAAAATATTTTCCAATATAGAAAATCATACTTGTTTTTAGATAACTCTTATCCCCATAACTATGTATCTATTATTGATAATTTATGGATTTTTCTTGCTCCTATATGTTTTTCTGATTACACTCCATATATAAATCATACTTTACATTTCTTTTCAATGTTATATTTGGTATCTGGGATGATTAGATACCACAAAATAAGCTATAAACTATTTATAGCACAACATGGATATCCACTTAGTTGATCTGCATTCTGTATTTGTTTATGTAACATTACTCCTAGTGTGTTGCATATCCTTGCACAGCTAGTGTGCACTGGGATACTGTTTTCCTTTAGATGGATTATGAAATTAGAATACTGGGCCAAAAGGGCCTTTTGTTTTTATGTTTTGCTAGGTGGTGCAATGGTTAAGAGAACTGGGTGCTCTTGCAGAGGATTTGAGTCTGGTTCCCAGTACAACACAGAGGCCAACAACCAACAGTTAAGTCCAGTACCAAAGGGCGTAATAATGCACTCTGTGGGAATGGCACACATAAGGTACACAGACATGCATGCAGCAAAACAGCCACACACATAAAGCAAAAATAAATAAATCTTTTAAAAAGATTTTTAATAGAGTACCGATCATTTAAAAACTAGCCCCATTTTCATCTAATTCACTAACACTAAAACACTAATTAAAAGTAGAATCTTCTGTTTATTTGAGCTTCAGAACTACAAAGGTAAATTTTAATGTACTTACTATTTGTACTTAGGGAAATTTTCTACATAGATTTAAGCATACATTTATTATTGTGTTCTTAATACTCTAAATGGCAATTTTTTAGAAAACAATATCTCCATCTTCATGATATCCATTACAGAGGCATACCCTTTTCTATTGGTTTTTGTGACTGTTGTACACATAATATCATCCAATTAAAATGTACACTGACATTTTCCCTGGCAAATTCTTACATTGGTTTTGTACTTATAAAGCACCTTCTATTTCATGCATCATATTTCTAATCATCTAATTTTGTCCTTTTTGATCATAGTTTTAAAATGTTGACCAAATTAATCCATTTTAAATTTGTTTCTTAATACAGTGAAAAAAATATTTCTACAAATAAATGTATTTGTAATTAATATACTCATATGCTATTGTTTTATCACATTTCCATAATAAAATATTCTTTTATTTGTTTTAATTATTTTCAAGAATATTTCCCTTAGTTGGATCTGCTTTTCACATGCCTATAACTCCTGACATTTGGAACAGAGACTGATGAGGAAAGTTGCAATCCTGAGGTCTGCTTGGGCAACTGGATGAGTTCAAGGTCCATCTGTATGACATTGTCTTAAAATAAAAATAATGTGAGGGCTGAAGGCTTAAATACACAATAGACAGCTTGACTCATTGAGCACTCAAGGCCCTAGGTACAATCCTTGGCACTGGAGTAAATAAAATAAAGGAAAAGTATTTATTTTGCTTTATCTATGTATATGTTCTTGAACTACATAGTCTCAAAATGAGTAGCTTTATGTCAGTTTTGTGTCTCTTCAAGATAGATATCTAATTACTTTAAAAAATTTTACATGAATCCCTGTCATCCAAAAATAGTTGCATTGGATAAGTCTATAATCCACTTGTCTGCCCAGAAAAAAAAATTGAATGACTAATAGCCTAGTATGTCCCCAAATGAACCCTGCTTTGTTACAGCACATGTAAACATAATGAAGAGATGAGTCCAGAAGCACTGAACGTATCTTGAGAGAGACAGTTGTAAGTGGAAGGATGGCTTGAAAGCTAAGAACGTGCAGCACTACGGGAGAGGTATCAACAACTGATTGAATACACAGCTAGGCATTGAAATGATGACATTTTCAAAGATGCATTTGCTTTTTAAGTTTAGAGGGATGGAGTCTTAGGCTTTATCAAGAAGCAACAAATAAGCATGCATGCCAGAGAATTGTAAGGGGGGGGGCTTATTGTATAAAAGTGTGATTTTTCAAGATAAAATTACTGCAAGTTATGGGGTCTGTCCTAAAATGTGAGCCCAAAAGTTCAACTCTACGCTCTGAGAAATGTACTGATGTATGAACAAATAGCTAAGGAAAGAAGTGAGAAGAGGTTTGTGTGAATTTGTTCAATTATGCTTTGCTTTGTAGTTACTTAATTTGACATTATGTTTTCAGATTCAGAGACATCTTGAAGTTTCTGTGTCTATTTGTATGTTTGCAACGTCCTATGAAAGGCACTTCAAAGTACACATTAGGGAAACATGCAGAACTTTAGTGTAAGGTGGCTACTAGTTAGACTCTAAGCTATTGGATGGTATTTTAAAACTCAGACCTCTTAATGCTGAGACTGATAAGACTTAAAAACGACTGCTCTTACTCAATATAATTTACTTACTGATGTAATTTAATTCACCTGATGAATTCTGAAATAGATTTTTAAAGATTCTAAATATATTTCTATATTTCCCTCATTCTATTAACTGGAAATATAGAATATTCAGAAAATGAATAAACTTATCTTTAGGAAATATAGCATCTACTAAAATATTTTTTTTGCTTTTTCCTTTTTAAAACTTTTTATTTATTTATTTGTCTTATTTTACATATCGATCCCAGTTTCCTCTCTGTCCCTCCCTCCTTCTCTTCCACCCTCCCATGCCCCATGGCCACCCTCCCATCCCATTCCCCCCTCCCCACTCCACATGTAGGGTGATGCCATCCTGGAGGGATCATTTAAATGGGTCTCAGTTGGAAGGCCTGGCAGTCTAAGGGGTCTCTGATAGTAGAATCAGGATGTATCCCTGGTGCACAAAAGGACTTTGGGAGTACTAAAATATTTTTTCAATGACAACTGGCATTGCTTTGTTCTTTAAAACCACAATTGCTTCCAAGTTCTTGCTATTACAAATAATGCTCTATGAACATAATTGAGCACATGTCTATGTTGCATGAATGTGGATCATTTGGGTATATGCCTAAGAGGGGGGTTGCCGGGTCCTGTGGTAAACTAATTCCCATTTTCCTGAGGAACCACCATACTGATCTCCAAAATGGCTGTACGAGTTTGCACTCCCACCAGCAGTGGAGGAGTGTTCCCCTTTCTCCACATCCTCTCCAGCAGAAGTTGTCATTGGTGTTTCTAATTTTAGCCATTCTGGCAGGAGTAAGATGGTATCTCAAAGTTGTTTTGATTTGCATTTCCCTGATAGCTAAGGATGTTGAACACTTTCTTAAGTGTCTTTCAGCCTTTTTGATTTCCTCTATTGAGAATTCTTTCTTCAGTTCTGTACCCCATTTTTTAATAGAGTTATTTGGTGTTTTGTTGGCTAGTTCCTTGAGTTCTTTGTATGTTTTGGAGATCAGCCCCCATCTCCCCATCTGGGTGGCATAGCCCTACATGTGGAATGGGTGTGGGGGATGGGAGGGGAGGGTGGTCACGGTGCATGTGAAGGGGGAGAGAGGATAAGAGGGAGGAAGGGAAGGAGGGAGGGAGAGGGAACTGGGATTGATATATAAAGTAAAATAATAATAATAATAGTAATAATAATTAAAAAACCATGATTGCTAAGTGATGCATGCTCCACATGCAATTCTTCTGCTCCTTGGATCCTACCTTGAACGCCACTCATAACACATGATGAGGACATCTTGATGGGGCAGGATATGCGGACACTGGCAGGAGGAATTTGTGATGAGGGGAACTTGTGTTCGAGGTATGGGTGAGGAAGACTTGAAGATCTCTTTTACATCCACCACTGTTGTTACTTCATTGCAACCACTCCTCTGGATTGCTTTGATTTTGGCATGAATAACTGTAATTTAAAACTCAAGTAAGTGCATTATTGAAGCCTTTGGGAGAACTAGAGACAGTGTTTTCGGGCCAAATCCAGAGTTTCTCTTACAGCATTACTCCTATAATTACGGTCATGTCCAAGCACCCCAAGTGCAGACAGAAAGCCCACACTGCTAAATGCAAAACATCCTATTTTTTCAACATTGTTTTAAAATTCATGAATCATATCTCAAAATAAAAAGGGAATTAGAAGGCCAGTATTAGCCTGGACTTACAGGTCAACCAAACTTCATTTTTATCTGTTTCTACATTCCCTTTTATGAGTTGGAGAATGGCCATCAGCCATAACAGCCAGGTCCCCACAGAATGCTGGCTTTATCTAACCACCAAACATCCTCCTGTAGTCCAGGCTGAACTCATTTCTGAATATTTAGACAGCCTGAGACCTAATGTTAATATTTTCCAAATGCAAGTACTCTCTGAAAGCTGCTGTTTTCAGTTCATTCATTTCACCAACTGGCAGTAATGGCCCGGGGTGAGAGAGATGAGGTTGTTATTACAGGTGGATGTTTGGGTCACCACCTTTGATCAAGTATTAAGTTTCAGATTCTTTGTACCCTTGCTATTTAGCACTTGTAGTGGAGTTGCTAATTATCTCAACAGGTATGTTTTGGATTACATCCTAGAAAGCTGGCCTGAGGAGGAGCCAAACACGTATCAACTGAGCAATTCATTGCCAAGGTGCCTCCAAAGCATAGCGTCTGGAAGATAATGGTAGCAGGGGTTAGATAGCCTCAGGTTAGACTCGGGCTGGATGTTGGCAGACAAGGAATAAAACAGATAAGAATAAGACAATACTTACAAGGAACACATTTCAAGAAAGAAAGCTTCTCAGAAGAAAATCAAAATTTCTGTTGTTGAGTTGTTCATATTGGTTATTTGTGCCTCTCAAATATGACAGCTGAACTGCAGGTTAATTTTCTAGAGTTCTATATCTCCCACTTTCTTAAGTGATAGATAACATACAGCTTCTTACTGATAAATAATTTCAGGTAAAATATGAAAACCAAGTTGATAAATTATACTTTTCTTGTTACTATTTTGTTTTTGTTATTTTAGGAGAAATAATTTAAGAAATGCAATAACATGAAGTAGCCCAAGTGGAGACTTGATTTGTTTTATTTTTTCTTGTGTGTGTGTGTCTGTTTATGTGTCATGTGTGGGTGGATGCATATATGTGCTGGTGCAAGCAATTGAATTGCATCAGATCTCAAGCACATATGTTAAAAGAACACAATTTAATTTAAGTTCAATTTATAATAGTGGAATTAAAAACATTTACAACTTTTAAAATACCATGACTGATTTGATTTTCCTTTGGAGGAAGTACTAAATGGTTTTTTCAAGTAAAAGAGAGTAGGGTTAAACATCTCTAGCTGTTAATGAGGAAAAAGATCCTTGGTCAGGTCTTCATCATGTGGTCTTCAGATAATTAAACCCTGGTCTGAACCCTCTCATCCTTCCTGTAGTAAGATAACTGAGAAAGAGAACAATGGCCCTCTGCCACTTTCTACACAGTAGTTTTCACTGAAACTTGTATGAGAAATTTATTTTGTTTTTTCTTTGATTTACCCAGAAAAGTAAGAAGCTTCATGGTTATTGTTGAGAGTTCCAGAAACCTTATAATTAACAACAATAACAGCAACAAAATCCATCATCTCCCTTTCCTTGACTACAACATCAGTCTGATGTAATTTCAGTGCTTTGGTGTGCCAAGTGCCAAAAGCAAATGATTTCAAAAGACTTACCATAGCTGTAGTTTTTGCTCAGGTATGTTGCCAAAGTTGGCTTCACCTTTTTGCACTTGCACCGATCTAAAAGAGACATAAAGCACATGGGAAGTGGAGGAAAGACATCGCTCTGGGCACAAAGCAAGGGGCATCTGAGGATATCTCACCAGGGCTCAGGCGTTTACAGTCAGCATCAAAGGGTCTTTCCTGCATCATCATATCTGGTGTTATGTCTATCCACTTCACATCTGAAACACAAACAGGGCCATGCTGTGTAGTTGATGACTGGATCCCCTCATTCAGATTCTTGTGACATTCAGGCTTCAGAAATAAGTCTGTGAGCCAAGAATTTGCTTACTCAAACAAAACTTGATGTGAGCGAACACCCATGACACCAACCTGGATCAATCTCATACCCACACCCATCCTAGCCATCCTGATACTCTTGCTCCAAATTAACGTGTAGCAGTTCTCCAATCAGAATAAACAGACTATTTCCACATTGCCACCTCTTACTGCCATGCAGAGAAACAAGTCTGAAGCTGCACTACCAAAATTAAGCATAACTTCCAGGCAGTTATGGGATTTAAACAATTGTCTAATTTAATTTTTTCCCCAATATTCTTAGTAAGAAACAAGTTTAAAGCAGGGCTCACAAATCACACCAGTCCCCTTGAGTCACATCATGGAACCGGTCTCTTTAAGTAGTTGATGATATAACTTAGGAGAAACCTCGGTGAAATAATGCAATGCTGTTCTCAGGTTTCATTTCAAGAAGTGAATTCAGAATGCTCCTTCCAACAAAAGCAGTAAAATATTAGGAAAGAGAAAAGCGGGAAGTGACACAGTGGTCAGAGTAGCCAACATGCCACATACTGGGCTCAGTGACCACAACATAGGAACAGAATGGAGTTCATCTGAGTTCCAGGAGGACTACATTTATTAACTTTACTCCTGGCAGGAGAATGAGAATCACTATTGTACTTTAAGAAAGAACTTGCAGTCAGCACTGAGAGTGTTTTAACCACCATAGATTGAAGCATTAGCTAAGGCAATGGACACGGGCTTAACACTGACCCACACCCACAGTAATATCGGTTTGCTGTGGCTTTTGTTTCTGCTATCTACCTTAAATAAAAACATTGGAATGGTTTACCCCTAAGCAAATTTATTCCTGAGTCCTTTAAGGAGCACTGATGTATTTCCATGCCTTGAGAAATCCCTGTGAGGTAATCTTTCCTGCATTCCACCCTCCCTCAAGGCTCAGAGAACTGTGACAGAACAGGAGCTGGTCAGCTGTACAAGAGGCCACCTGGTTCTCACGTGATATGTTGGCCAGCCCCTGAACTCCCTTGTTTTCCCAGGGCACCTCCTCTTTGTCTTACCTTCTGGAAGATCAGTGACTATGGCTTCAGGCGAGATGCACACTCCACGGTCATAGACCGGCAGCTCGTCGCAGGCCAGGCTCTCTGGCCAGCTGTGGTTGTACATCTTCATGAGGGGCTCGCAGTCATCGCGTGCTTGCTGGCACACAGACTTGCAGGGCTTGATGGGGTCGTGTAGGAACTCCAGCGTACAGATGGGTGCATACATGGCGCAGAGAAAGAAGCGCAGTACCGAGCTGCAGTTCACATCCACCAGTTCCTCGTACTGCTCGATGGCCAGGATGGCGTTCTCCTGCGTGCTGTGGTGCAGGTGATTGGGCATCCTAGTGATGTTCCAGGGCATGTGCCGGCACATGGGTATGCGCACAGCCTCACAAGGCGCGCCGCGCACGCCCAGCGCCAGGCGCAGCCACAGGCACAAAGTTACAAGGATGGAGAGGAGCATGGCACTGTCCTCCGGAGCTGCTGTTGGCAGGAAGCGCCTTTCTCTTCCAGTCTCCCTGCTCTTCCTATCTCTTCACCTAGGAGCAGCAGCCGGTGAGCTTTTCTGCCAGTACGCACTGATGGGGAGTTCTGGGGTCTGGCAGCAGATCGCCCCTGGGCGCACAGAGCACCAGCAACGCCAGCACTCAGCTTCCAGAGCTCCAACTTGCTCAGGAAGCTCCAGTCTCGGACCCCGCAGCTCGGAGCATAGCCGGACACGGCCATTGCGGGACCCTATTTATCCAGACTCGTCCCCTGACGTGGGCTCAGCAGCCTTGGCAGCTGCCAGCGCAGAGTCGGCTCCCAGATCTGCTGCTCCACCCCCCAGCCTCTTGTGCAGAAGTGGTGACATCATCTCTGCCGCTGAGCAGTCAAGGTCTTCAATCCTGCATTCCCCCAAAGTCCTTCCCTTTTTAGGATGGCTAGTCCTTTTTTCTTCAGATCAAGAAAAGGAACATTTTACATTCCGTCATTTAGGATACTTGATACAAGACGGTACAGGGAAGACTTTGAAGAGAGAAAAACACTCTTTGCTCAGCTGGCTTTAAAGTTTCCCTAAGTATAGAGTTGGAGCTACGTGACCCTTTAATGTGGAGACATTTGCTTTTTCTTTCCGGTAGGGGGCAAGAGAGGTGCCGTTTAGTGAGACACTAGAAAGTCCAGCCCAGCAAAGTAGGTGTGGGAACCAGCAACAAAACTGGCAGGGCAGTTTATATAAGCCTCCCCCAACCTGCTCTGGTTGGGTTGTATGGGGTTTGCTGCTGTTGTTGTTGCTACTAATGTTGTTTTGTGGCCACTGGGCTTAGTTCTGGCTCAGATTTTACCAGGCATTTGGTCTGTGCCTGTTCCAGGAACTTAGAACTGCCAGGGGTGCAGGAGCATCTTTGGTTGGAGAAGTTTCTCTGCTTGCTTCCTTTCTCAAAATACTAATTCCTGAGCCCACCATGAGTGGAAACCAGGAGAAAACAACTTGAGACAACACATTTTGAAAGATTTCCCCAATGCAACAACAGCCTGGTGGTCTTTGATAAATTGCAGACTATGTTTTTTTTTTTTTCCTTAAGAATCCACTAGCTTTGGAAAGCAAGTGCACATGTTTACTTTTCCTCTTTTTTTGCACAAGAAAGAGGCAACAGAATCAACACTGTACTCACTATTCCCAGAAGAGAGGTGTTGCTGAACAAGTTCATATCAAATATCTGGCAACCAGGTGGCAAGGCTTTTGGTGTAAATTTGCTGTCATCACTAACAGTAAGAAAACATGTTGTCTGAACATTAATCGTTAAAGCTATGGTTGAACTTGAAATCCAGGTTTAAGGAAGCTCCTTTGCCTCTCCAAAGCTGAGACAATAAGGCTGGGCAAAATGGAACAAAACAAAACACAACTGCTCTTGTCCTCTTTATTGGGTAAAGTATGGGGACAAGCACTTTCAAGAAAATAATTCACCCAAGAGTTCTGATACTATTTGGAAGCTGCCCAGAGTGCCTCTAGGCTGTCTGAAATAGGCATTCTGCTTTCCTGCAGACAAGGTCTCAACTTCCAAAGATGCCAAACCAAGCCAAGAAAACATCAAGCAGACTGGGTGGCCAAAATGACATCTCAAGCCTTTTCCAGTCGTGAAACCCAAGTCTAAACCCCTTACTGAGCAACAAAGATTTTTTTTTTCAGATTAACTTCCTAATGGGAACAAGAGAGAGAGCAAAACTTCCATCCACTTTCCTGTGAGCTGTCAGGGGAGGGCAATCTTGGAGAAGGCTCCCTCTTAGGCAACCAATTTGAACTTGTTGCATATTTAACTACTCAGGCCCCTCACCACCTCACTTCAAAGTTTCATGGACTCCCCTGATACTCTCTGATTTCTTATTCTTTAATAAAGAGAGGGCTAGGAATATAGTTCAGAGGTAGAACACTGACCTAGCATGGATGGAGGCAGCCCTAGGTTCATCCCAACACTGAAAGAAAACAAGCAAACGGCAATGTTAAGACAGGTATTTGGGGCTGAAGGGTAGTGCTCACCCCAAGTTCACCCCTCAGCCTGGGGGAAGCTGTCTTCAATGCTGTTTGTAACCCTATCAGGCCCACTCTGGTCTGTCCCTTGTATTTTACAGACTGTGTGATACAGACAGACATGGAAGGACTCAGAAAGCTTTCTAAATGTTCTTTCTGCTCTCTAAAATGTCAGTGATCCTAGCTTTAGCACTAAAGCCATTGTCCCCTAGCTAAGTGCTTCTCTGAGTGACTCCATTTTGGTCTCTCTGTGCTCACTTCTCTCTCCTCCTAAATGCCTGCTGCTCTCCAGCATTGTGCCCTCAGCCCTCTCACTCTTAACTCTCCACTCTAATCCACCCTTGGCACTTTTGAAACTTAGGGCTGAAATCTTGCTCTTTATTTCCAAACTGTCTCCCACACTACCCATCCCTATTTCCTTAAGTCAGCTAGATTCTGTGTCATGTATTACATATAGCAGCCTCTTCCCCTGCTCCTTGCCACTCTGTTTGGACCTGCATATTTTTCCTGTGGCACCTGAGCAAGCTTTCTAAGGCATGTCCCCTAGGATGCTCCTCCCATCGTCCTTTTCTGGGCTGGTGGCTCCCACAGTCCTCAATACTAATAACAGAAACCCTTAACAGATTTTAAGGCCCTAAGTGATGGGGCTCCAGAATGCCCTTCTAATGCTTGAACTCCAGTTCTGAACCTATTGTTCTCTTGCCCCCCACTAAGGAACACCCTCAACCACTTCCTACTGGCTCATTGTTTTTCATGTTTGCGATTAAATACAAATGTAAATAAAATTGCAAAGCAAGGGTCTTTAAGAGTAAACTGCTTCATCTTGTCTTGATTGCATAATATTAATCCTAACATGTCTTAAATATAATCCAAACTTATTCACAAAGATGTAAACCCTAAGACACATAAACCTCCAGACTTGAAGCTTTGCCATGTATGGACAGAGAGAGAAGTTTCACTGAATTGTGACTTCGAGGCATTGTAAAAGGCCTGAGACTGAGAATTTCCCAGAGACCACAACCGTATTTCTTCAGGACTCATCATGACACGTTAAATTTGTTTTAGGAAACAAACACAAGTCGAAATTTTGCCAAGAAACAAGTACAACAGCCAGGGAAAGTGCTGCACTTCTGCTTTTCCTGGATCCCTTAAAATCGCCCCAGTGAAGGTTTGCGGGTTGAATGCTACATTTCTTGGAGAAATGTGTCCCTTTTCAGCACATTCCCTCCTCGCCGCCCCAAACCCTTGAAATCGCGGTGCCCTGCAGGATGCTAGGTGGCATCACTGCCGCTGCGTTTCCTGTTGGCAGCAGAGAGCAGTGAAAATAAGCTTTAGTAAGCAACCGCCAGGGCAAAAAAGGCTCCCAGGCGATTCACGCGGCTTTCCCAAGCCAGGGTCTTAAACCTCAGTACAGAAAACCGGGAGAGGCCAGCGCGTCCCAGCTCTGCATTCCGGAGTTCACCTTCCGCCCAGCGCGGAGAGAAAGCGCAGCACGCTCACGCTCACTCCGAGGTTCGGGCGACCTCTTTGGCTCAGCTGACTCCGGGGCTGCGGATGGCGATACGAGCACACGCTCCCTGCCGGGTGGTCCAGCGACCTCAGGGCGCCTGGCTGTTGGGTGGCCTCTGGGTCTGGGCGCTTTGCGGCCTGTGCGGCCTGGGGACAGCGCACTCACAGGGGACCCCGCAGCCGTGCGAGGCGCCCCAGCAGTGGGAGGGACGCCAGGTTCTGTACCAGCAGAGCAGCGGGCACAACAGCCGCGCCCTGCTGTCCTACGATGGGCTCAACCAGCGCGTGCGGGTGCTGGACGAGAGGAAGGCGCTGATCCCCTGCAAGAGGTAGGCGCATAAGAGCATGATGGCGTCAGGAGAACGCCAGGTCAAAGGTGCTTGGCTCCCCAGCTAGACCTCCAGCCACTCCCTGTTCCTCCCTACCCCCAAGAACTTTACAGGGGCTCTTGGGGGTGGCGTGGTCTGCCCAAAGAAGCAGAAGCAGCAAAGAAAGGGCTCACCGAGGGCAAGATGGAACAGCCAGCTACCCTATATCCAAGTTAGCCCCAGTTTTTACTGCTGTGTCAGGCTCCTGGCACCTGGAGCCCCCTGCTGCCCAGGGAGTCAGGGAGTGTTTTTTTCTAAAAGTCACTTACAAGGGAGACACAAAATCTTCTCTAACAATTTTATTTTTACAATTAAGAATTGTGTGTGTGTGTGTGTGTGTGTGTGTGTGTGTGTGTGTGTGTGTGTGCGCGCGCGCGCGCCCACCCATGTGGAAGACAGAGGACAACTTACTAAGTTGGTTCTCTCCTTCCTTCTACCATTGGCTCATAGGACAACACTGTAAAAGGAGTGGGGAAATAATTTTTAAAAGTCGCACACAAACTCATTACCCCATTACAGTATTAACCTTTTTTTATTTTTGGTTTGTTCAAACTCTGAAGATTTTTTCCGTTGTAAATCTAGTTAAAACTCCCATTAAAGCACATATAATGTCACCTTAAAACTTTCATTAGAGCTTATTTATGTACTAACTACCACCTTAAAACTTCCAATATAGTTCATGCACTGCCACCTTAAAACTTCCGTTAGAGCGCATGTACTGCCACCTCAAAACTCCAATTAGATACAATTACTATCACTTTCACCCCTCATTTACCTATCCCCTTCTCTTGTCAATTTTTTAGTTGTTCCTTGTTCTTAACTAGCACCAAATACAAAATGGAAGGGCATGTTATCACCCACGTGCTCATACACATGCTCACATACACACATGTACACAAACATGTGGTAACCAGTTTAGCTTTCCATTTTGTGGCGACAGAGGACACACTTTTTCTAGGATGTCACCTTCTTTCTGACCCCTTTAAGACCCAGTTTCTAATTTAAGATCACCACCTGTCTCCCTGCCTCCGCCCTCTGCTATCTCCCAGTGTGCTTCATGTGGGCATGCTGCCATCTCCTCGTGGCGTTTGTGCCACAGGGAGGTATGAGGAATGACCACAGTGTAAGGCTGCAGTGGGCAGTAAGATTGGTGTAAATGGAAGCCATTAGTTTCTAGCACAGAACAAAGCTTGGTAAAATCATTTTATCCGGAAGCATTTACCCCTGAAGTGATTGTCTTCTTGGCTAAAATATGGAAAAGACTGAGCCTTCTAAACCATCTTCTTAGAGTATAAGAATTACCAAATGCAGGAGACCCATCTTACTTTTGGATTCTACTTTGGAGTTTCAGCCAATCGTGGACAGTAAACAGGTGAAATCACATTCCACGTACTGAGCACATATATACTATTTTCTTGTCATTTTTCTTTAAATAATGACTCTGCCTTGCATAACATTTATATTATTTATATATTCATTATTGTAAGTAACCAAGAATATATGGAAGTGTATTTGTAGGCTGCCTGGATATTTTTTGTTTGTTTATTTGTTTTTGTTGTTTTTTTTGTTTGTTTGTAATTCTTAGATCAAGGACAAGAGCATCCATGGTTTTGCTATCCACAGAGATCCTGGATCCTGAAATCCTGGATCCAATTCTTGTTGGATAAAGATGTGACACAGCAGTGTCTTTATGGATGATTCAGAACATGTGTGTAAAAACTTTCAAGAACAATGAATGTTTTTCATTGGGTCTTCAGGGACATAATGATATTTATAATTTGGATGTGTTATATAGTGCTGAAACTTTGAATATTTCATATACTTTTGTTTAGATGTCCCAACATCATAGGGTAGATTTTATGATTTCCATTCCACATAGAGACACTAAGACCTAGGGAGCTTGGCAGACTTTCCTTCTATCACACAACCAAGGCTTAAGGAAGCTGTATGGATTCTTGTGTCCATAATATACTAGGTTCATACATCTTCATCCACTCTTCATCTGGCACGTTTTTGTTCAGGGCAAACACTGTGTCAATTACCAATGGAATAGGTCTTGATTTGAAGGGAGGTAATAGTCTGAGGGTGGAGTCTTATAAATTAATTATGCTTGTGTGGTAAGATGGAGGGTTGATTAGAAGATGTATGATGAATACAGCTATGATGGCACATAACCATGGCCTTTGGGAAAAGGTCATATACCCATTTAATGGTTCCACAAAACCTAAGTGGATCTACCAGGGTTACATACAGAAAGTATTTTGTCAGAGGGCGTATGTATGTATGTACTCTGTGCATAATATGCTGTCATCTTGGAGTTTATAAGCAGGCCCAAGTATATTTTGAGGCCAGCAACCAGTCACTCTGAGAAATGAAGGCACAGGGTGGTGGAGGTCATGCTGAAGGAATTTGAACAATGAAATGGCATTACTAGGTGGCATAATGGTCACTGGATTCATGAATGAGATTTCATCCTGAAGAGGTTTACAGAAATCAGAGCAATGTGGAATGAGTGTAGAACTAAAGAGTTTTATAGTGGCTTCAGACATGGGGAAAACTGGGACAGGAGGTTATGTTAGGGAAGTATTAGAGAGATAGTGATATATAAGAGATCAAAGGTAACAGGATGTGAAGGGAGAGAGAGAAGTCAAGCAAGTTACCACTATTGGCACCTGAAGCCAACTGGTGGTTCAGGACAGGGATTGCTCTTCCCACTCAGGGTGAGGGTGGACCACTACTCTCTCAGTGTATTTATGAAAACTATGCAATGGTTGTTTGTTGGTGAGTAGGTATGATGATGGGGGAGTGGTTTATCTTATTGGTTGATGAATAAAACTCTGTGGCCAATAGGGCAGCATGATAGGCAGGTCTAGGAGATGAGGATTCTGGGAAGTGTAGGCAGAGCCCATCACTATGTAGGCTGCTGGTGGAGTTACACCATGCTGGTGGAGTTACACCATGCTGGGCAGTACCAGATAAACCACATGGCAATACATGGATTGATAGAAATGGGTTAGTAATTAAGACAGAGATAGCCAATAAGAAGTTCTAGCCAACGGCCAGGAGTTTCATAATTAATATAAGTCTTGTGTGTTTATTTGAGGACTCTGAGGTGGCTGCAGAACCGGGTGGAAATTTCGTGGCATAGGATAGCTAGAGTTCACACTGCCCATGCTCAGCAGTGTGACCAGAAGAAGATAGAGTTCATTCTTACCCACAGAGTACTTTTAACTATTTAAGAAATTTGGCTGTATATTCAGATAGACTTAGTCCTGAATCTCATTTCTCAAAGTGAGCTTTTGTAAATTTCTGTAGCCCTATGGGACATGGCTTATTCTTTTACAAAACGGGGATACTTATAGCAATTAGTTTATTAGAAGGCTGTGATGATTCAATAAGCTAAAATATATGAAGCATTGTCTCATCTCATAGCGCTGAGAAGGTGTGTAGTGAGTGGTCATAGGGTTTACTAACCACCCACCATCATCATCTTTGTGGATTTAGTTTTCCATTTTCTAGAGATTCACTGTCAGCCCCTTTGAACTTACACACTCAATTTAGCAGCACAAATGAGTATCTGCCCTCGGGGAATTGACTCAGTGCACAGACTCAAATGCTGAATTATATTTCAGCAAGTTTTATAGCTGGCAGAAAGACCAGTCATCTCAAATCCACAGAGATGGACTAGATCATTCTCTCCTTGAATTCAAAACTATGTGAGGAGCCAAATTATGATTAGGAAGAGATGAGCAAAGAGTTGGGTTGGATCAAATACATGAACAAAAGCCTGGTGATTGTTCTAGGCTCAGTTTTCATGCACAACAATGAGTTTTTTTTTTTTTTTAAACCACAAATAAATGTTTCATCCCAGAATAATATTTAGCAATTATCAGGTTGTGTGGAATAGTTTTTTTTTTTTTTTTTTTTTTTTTTTTTTTTTGTGCACTTGACACAAGCTGATATTATTTGGGAAGAGGGAAACTCAACTGAGAACACTCCCATAGTAAAATGACCTGTGGGACATCTTTTTTTTTTTTTTTTTAATTGATGTGGGAGGGCCCAGGTCACTTGGGGCAGCACTATATGTGAGCAGTTGATCTTGGGTGGCATAGTAGTCGGGTTGAGAAAACCATGGGGAGCAAGCCAGTAATTCATTTCTTCCATGTCTGCTGCTTGATTTCCTGCTGTCAAGTTCCTTCCTTGAGTTCTGACTCTGACTTTGAGGACATACTGTGATTTGGAAATGTAAGATCAAACAATCCTTTCCTCTACAAGTTGCTTTTGGTCATGCTCTTTTGTGACAGTAAGAGAAACCTTAACTAAGATAGAAATTTATACCAGGAGGAAGGTATTGCTGAGGCAGACCTGACCATATATTTTTGGGAGGACTGTGGTGGCTTTTGAACTTAGGAATGGAAGAGCTATTGGGTGCTGAGAGCTTCATGAACTATTGTGGAAACTGAAAACATTAAATGTATAGAGCAGTATAGACAATAGAGGCCTGACTTGTGAAATTTTTAGAGGAGAGTTTCAGAGTCCCTTAAAGACTCTGTGGCTGTTCAATATTTTGAATTAATAGCAACTAAAGTGGAAATTTTGCTTTGCTAGTACAATTTATTCTGGTCAGCTGAGGCTGGGAAATCAGCTGTGATTAAGAACAGACTGGCATCTTTAAGGGAAATTTTCCTGGAAAGTGTCTCTTGAGGTTCAGCACACAGAAGTGGTGGTCCAGAGGGTTGTACCTCAAGCTGGCTGCACAACTTACCAATGTATAAGAGTTTCTCAGGTTTTACTGGTTGGGAAGGTATCAAGAGGTTATGGAGAGCAGTTATATCTTATGAGAGGCCACTGGTGAAGGTTCAGCTCCAGTTACAGTAGAACCTCCAGACTAAAGAGATCATGGAGAAAAGATGAGGCTTGCCACTATGTAACAGAGACTGAGTCCTTGAGTCCTGCTGGTG